GTTTTTAGGTGTGACCCGAGGTTCATGTGGAGGCTCCCGGAAGAGGTGGGAAGCAGAGCTGCAGGTCTTGAAAAATCTCCTGCTAGAACTCTGTGAGGCAGGGAGAGGAGGTGACTGCTCAGCGTCTGGCTCTTCCTTCAGGGAGATCTATACTTCCAAAGGGATCTGGTTATTATTCAAGATTTTAGTCCTGAATCTTCCTTAGACATTGATGAAAGCCATGTACCTTCTAGCCAGAAAACTGAGTGGATACAAGCCTGTGTGTATGTACATATATTCCCCCACATACACACTTCAAGGGTTCACAGAATTCTGGTCAAGAACTCCTAAACTTTAGAAGGTGGTATAAGTTTTGGCAGAGGAGGTTCCAAGTGGAATTGAGGGGCAGATCCCACCTGAATGACTGGCTCTACTCTGAGCCAGGTAACTGGCTGTCTGAAGTGATGGCTTCTATCTCAGTGTCTACGCAGGAGTTTGGTGGACCCCAGTGCCATGAAGCCTGTGATGGGCTTGGGGAGGGGAAACTGGGAGGCAGAGATGCTCTGGACAATTCCATATGATGTTGTCACTGCACATTGTGGAATTGGAGGCAAGGGAGGGAAAGGCCTGGAAGAGCTTTTGTGTGTGGCTAGGAAATGGCTAGGCCTTTTGATCATCCATAGCCCAGTTACACTTCACAGCAAGCCTGTACATCAGGCCCAACTATGGTTCTGCTTTCATTGATAAGGATTATGAGATTCAGGGAGTTCACTGTCCAAGGTCATTCAGCTGGTAAGTGGTACAGCAGGAACTGAAGCCTAGGTCTCTCAGGCTTTGATGCCCAGTTGCAGTGGTCAGACTTGTTACTGAAGAAATTCTCTCCAGCCTATTCCCATTCCGTGCCAGCCTGGGGCCAGGAAGGCTGGGTGCTGTGCACAGACATTTCAGGCTTTACTCACCGAGGTTTCAGATATGCCTACCAGATTTGTGCACACACCAGACTTGTGCCAACTTTTCACTCTAATGTGGTCTGCACCACATTGAATTTAATTCCTTCAAGGCCCAGCTAATTAACACCCCCATTTCTCTGTGCCCTGGTAGCTCAGCTGGTAAAGAATCTGCCTGCAATGTGGGATACCTGGGTTTGATCCTTGGGTTGGGAAGATCCCCTGGGGAAGGGAAAGGCTACCCACTCCAGTATTCTGGCCTGGAGAATTCCATGGACTGTATGGTCCATGGGGTCGCAAAGAGTTGGACATGACTGACTCACGTTCCTCTGTGTTGCTTCCCTGATGAGAGCCATTCCCACAGCAGTCTGTGATGCTTGTCCCTCTCCCCACCAAGCTCTAAGACAGGCTCATTTCGCTCCTTCTTCTAGATAATCCCTCCTGGCTCCATCTTAACCAGGAGCCTTTCCATGGCAGGGCCAGTGCTCAGAACAGTGAGCCCCAAGTTGCCTAGCCAGGTACTCCTCATAAATCAGGCAATTCAAGGGTTATTCCTCTTGATGACGATGATGCCAGTGTTAATGGTACAGGCAGGAAAGCCTAGGCCAGTGGTTTGGAATGTTTCCAAGGCCACAATTCAATTTCTTGCCTTGTCTCGAAGGCGGCTTTCTCCTCCCCAGCAGGCTTCTGCCTGCTCAGTCCCCAGTGCGGCTGAAGGGGTGCAGTGTCTGTATCCAGATCACCAACCACGCTCCACGGTGTGAAAGGGGTGGGAGAACAAAAATCATGAGACAACACGGTGGCTTTTGAACAGGTACGTAGGCTCCCTTATTTAATAGTAATTAAAAGAGAACATACAGGAGGAATAGACATGCTCTTTCCACGTAAGAGGTTTTATACTAACCACGAGGCCCATCTGTATCAGTAGCTTTACTGGTTGAGTTTTAAAGAAAAAAGTTCCCTTTAGAGTTAAAAACGGACTTTCCTAAATTTCCCTCATAAATGTGCAACTATTTGTGCAAAATAAAAAGGCCATTTCCAACACATTAGTGAAAAGTAATCGCAAACTCAGGCAAAGGAAAAAGATAAAAGAGGCAACAAAAGCAGCCAGGTGCAGCACCCTGGAAGAAGTGCGGCTCTGGTGACCGGGCTTCTGCAGCAGGCCCTGGGGAGTGTGCTCAGAGGCCTCATGGGCAGTCATGGCCAAGGCCAATCTTGGGGACAAAGGGCCTGGGTCTGGGACTAGCTGAGCAAGCACTTGTCAAGTGTGCAGTGAAGCTGGGCTGACTTGGAGGCCTGGGCGACAATGCAAATGCTGGGCATTGCTCCCTGGATGCTGTATATTCCCTTGACCAATGGGAACTCTCTGCTGCTTCCAATTTTCACGTTCTGTTCTTCCCCACCATCAGCAGCGTCATTTAGTCTACTCAGAGATTTTGCCATGTGATACATTAAAACTATTCCAGCTGTCTAAATTACTACTTGCAACCCATTAGGGTGCCCAACCTGACTGTCCCTTCAGGAATATGGATCTGGTTTTCCCAAGAACTCAGCCAACTAGAAGATGGAAAGGCCTCCAAGCACCCAAGTTCTCGACTCTTACTGAGGCCTCTGGGGTGTATCTACATCTCTGGGCATTTGAGGCCACATCTCAGGATTCTGGGGGACGCAGGCACCCATGCTTTGTACAAGTCCTGACCTAGCTTGAAGCCTACAGACAAAATTGAAAACTCCGACTTCACCAATTTAAACAGTTTAGACATTGCCAGTCCCTGTTTTTCACCTATCCCTGCTCACCAAGGGTGTGTCTCCACAGACAACTCATAGGTGCATGTTGGTTTTGTTAGGGAAGGCGGGAGGCAGACCAAGAGGAAAGACGGGGTCTAACAAAGGATCTACCCTGTGAGTCTTGGGCTTGAGTAAGTGATTTTCTACAGAGGGACTTCTGTGTGCAAGGGGTAAGGTAACCCTGTTCTTCCACCCTGTTCATTTTCTCTTTATAGCACTGTTTCTCCAGGGTACAGGTCTGAGACCAGACCAACAATGATAATGCTTGAAAGTGACATACTTAAGGTTCCCTCCATTCCACTTCAAAGTCTCAGCACTCAAAGCAAAAGAGGTCCTGCTGTAATTGGGGTCTAGAGAAGGAGGGTGTTTGGGGGCCCTTCTTAAGCAATAGGATTAGAGTGATCATTTCTTGCTCTTTTATAATAAAGTCCAGAATTTGAGAGATGCCATTTTAGGTCTCATTCCCATGGACCCCTGCCTTCCCTTGGCTATGGAAGTTCTGAGTGGTAGCACTCATCTGTGAGCCTCATTCTAAGACCCTGGACCAAGCCCTCAGGATGATTAGCCCCAAGAATGAGCCTCAGAAATCTTCTGCAGAGTCCACAAGCAGCCCGGTCTTTCCAGTTTTGAGGAAGTCTGTGTGTGTCTGCGTGCATATTTTCTTCCCCATGGTTTTTAAGTTGTGCCATAATATTTGGCAGGGGGGTGGGGGTGGGGCGAAAAGGAAGCACTGCCTTCCCTAGAAGCAACTCAGTAGCTGACAAAGGTAGTGAAGAATTCTGTTTGATGAGTCTTTCCTCCCACTAATCCTAGCTGGAAAGTCCTGTGTGGCTTATTTGTCATTGTTTGGTGATGCACAATTATACTCTCACCAGTAGCCTTAATAGTGTCTTCCTGAAGTGTCTTAAAGGGCAGGGTCCGCTGACTGACCTCATAGCAAAGCCTTTGCATTAAGTCACCGGAGCCCATTTGCGACAGAGGACAGCCGGTTCAGGCTCCTCTGCAAACTCCAGAGCTTGAAGGATAGGATTACAGGCAATCTTTCTCAGACAAAGCCAAAAGATAGCTATGGGGACCTCAAAAGGGGACGGAAGCTTTAGGCTTGAGCAGGAGCTTCTTATCCAGGGTATGACTTGGTGAGGGAAGGCCAGGGTGACAAACCATTAGACACGGCTGACCTGCTCTACTTCACGGTGACAGTGGCTCCATCCCGAGGCATCTAGTCCAGCTAAAGCTCTCCCCACAGCACAGAGCTGGTGGCATTTCCTACAGAGATGGTGGCCACAAAGTTGGTTTTAAAGCACAAAGGAACGATTCCAAGTAATCTTCAGGTTTTACCTAAGCGGAAAGCAAAAGGTCATTTTTCAGGCTTCTGCAATCTGACTATCCCAATGACACTGCTGGAGGCGGCCAAGTCTGAGATTCTCTGTCTATGGAGTAACTGCGGACCTATGCCCCGAACCAAGCGCCTGACCAGGAAGGAAGGCAGTGAGAGGAATGGGGAAGGGGCTGGGGCTCTGATCCCATTCACACTGGCTTTTAAGACCTCCTCCTGGTGTGGGGGCAACCTACAGCTAGTCCTAAGGTCTAGTTAGTCCCACTGCGCACCCAGCTCTTCCATGCCCCAGAAAAATCAGGAGTAAAAGCACTGGGGGCAGATCTAGGCTAAAAGATGCCACCCTTGGGGGGACTGTGGTAAAGCTGTCATCTGGTCACAATGGCATGCTTGTTGTCTGGTCAGGGAAAGTCAGTGGACTGAGGGGAAGAAACCTCTGGAACTCCATAGCTGTGTGTTGGTCTTTTATAGACCAAGTAGTAATGTCTTCCAGGCCCCTTCCTTGTGTCAGGAACAACCAGCCTCACCTACGCAATGAATGGGGAACCTAGGAGTGAACAAGATGTACTTCATTATCCTTCTGCCTATTCACCTTACCTCCCAGTGCCAAGTACCCATTTTGTTTGTTCAGTTTCTGAGCCCCAGACCTAAGCTCTAGAGCCACGGATGAAAGGTGGTTCCTCATGCTGGACTGATGACACCACCGTCTCTAGGAAAATACAGTGTAGCCTGACTTCCCCTGAAGCCCAGCCTAGCAACATCTCATGGACTTGCTTACTCTTGTGCCTCTTCTACTATAGGGAAAGGTTATGCAAATACTGTACATAGGTTATTATAAAAAAATACATTTGTTCTCTTTGAAGAAGAATGCACAAATGCAGGGCCAGCCAGCGCTGGGTCCCCGACTCTGGGGCTGCAGCCAGCAGCCTCTGTGGGCCTGAGGCCCGTCTTCATGAGTGGTGGCTGCTGATGAGTCCCCGGAGTTGCTTGGCCACAGTGTCAATCAATTTCTGCTTGTCTCGCTCATTTTTCCGAAACTGTGCAAACATGTTGTTCTTGCGGCTGGTGTCCTTCATCCTAAACAGAGAGGGGAAGAAAGAGAGCAAAGCGTTCGAGGCGGCAATGGTGGCCACTATGTCTTAACCACCACCTGGAGTTGAGAGAGTCCAGAACATTTCCACTGTCAGGCCCATACTCACCTACTATTCAGAAAGCTGCCCTGCTGGCACCTCCATCCCTCCCAACTTCAGTCACCTCTGGCAAACAGTTGAGAGCCAGCCATGGCCAGCCCCCTTACTATCCATACTCACCCTACCTACTTCCTTCCTTTCTATGCCCAGGTATGAGCCTATTACAGGTATCTGGCACCTCCTGCAGCCTTGATGGACAACAGGATCTCAGAGAATGTCTAAGGTCTTCTCATTACCCCCTGAACTACTAAATCCTGCTGGGACCTTACAGCTGGTATTTGAAAGGGAAAGCAGGACAATGCTCTTAACTAGCAATTTCAAGAGAACACGAGTAACTGAAAGCCACTATGCATTTCTAAACATTACTCTAGCTGGTAATTCTATCCTACTCCTAACAAAACCAAGGGCTTGACTGATCTCTTTTCCTTTGCCTCAGAATAGAGGCCCAGAGACAGTGAGGTGGTTCGGAGGGCACGGTGCTGAGGAAGCAGGTGCCAAAAGGCTGAGCCGTTCTCTCACTTGAAAAATCAGGGCTTTATGCAAGAGAAGCCCCTGAGTTCTCAATGGCTGCTACACCTTCAGATCTTGACCTTTGGAAAGCTTTTTAACTGGCTCCTGCTAAAGCTCCCAAGATGGCATATTCCTAAAGCACAAACCCTGGGAAGTTCTGGCCATCAATTCTGCAGATGGAGAGACCTAACTGGAAAGCATGGATGGAGAAAGGCAAGGCTAGGCAGAGGTTCAGAGGAACCCCAAGCCTGACTTAGCCGTTGTGACAGATCCCAGGAATCTTTCATTCCCCTGAAAGGGGTCTCAGCCCCTGGTATTTGTTGGTGATTGTCAACTTTGGCCCCAGCCTCTGCACACTGGATCTCCAGCCCACAGACAGTTCTAATGGTACAGAAAGGACACTGCCCAGACTCATTTATCCCTGGGGTCGGCCGAGGTGGCTCCTCATGTCCATCCCTCAGGAGCTCGGCCAGCTCTCTGACCTCACAGCTCCCTGCCCTGCATGGAGATGGGTGAGGAGAGGGGATGGAAGGAACCTGGCACCAAGGAGTAAACTACTCCCAGGAAGACTTCCCAGGGGCCTTTGGCTAATCCTGGACCACTTTATCCTTCTGGGAGGCCCCGTGCAGAGGGATGGACTAGAGAGCCCAGTAGGTCAGAAGGTCAGGGAGTCCGTAAGGACATTTATATCCATATGGTAAGGAGGTTCTGATAAGCATCCCAGCTTTATGGCTCTGGCTGATGGTGACAGCCACAAGCCAACTGAGACTACTCTCTCTGATCTACGCTTTAGGGCCTTGAGCCTGGAATTACTCATCAAGCACACTTAGAGACGGCATATAAGGTACAACCACCCACATGTGGAGGTCCGTGCTTGAAAGGAAGGAAGAAGGAGAGATGACAGAGGTTTAGAGGTTTAGGTTGAAAAGAAAGCACAAAGGACCTCCAGGCTATCATGATTACTGTATCTGGTCCCTCAGACAAACTGCACCATGATGTTTGTAGAACTGGCTTGACTTAGGATTATTTATCCCAGACAGCAATTCCTCTGCTGGATATACTATAAATCTAAATAAAGCCAACACTAAACAAAACAAAAAGAATAATAAAGGAAGAAAAGCACTTCTGACCTTTATAGGGCACTTAATTTAACATCCTATGTGATCATTAGTTTCATGACCCCTCAAAGCAGCCCAAAGACAGAGATGGCTTTCAACTCCCTTAGGGGAGGTCCAGAAATAAGGTTGGAGGGAACAGGAGAAGAGGGTAGTCTCTGGGCCCCAGAGGCCAGGATTTCTTAGCCATTGAGGCCGGCAGTGGGGATTACTTGAAGGAGAAACTCGGGTGCCCTGAGGGCTGATGGTGGCATGCTGGCTTGTACCCGGCAATGTTCTGAGACCAAAGGAGAGCCTCCACCCCATCACACTCTGTGCGCCCAGGATCTGGCTCTGCTTTGGCCCCGGACACCTCTCAAAGATGCAGGGGCCTCTTCTCTTTCCTGAAAGTCCTCATCAGGTCTTTGTATCTTTCCACATCTCATCCTGCTAAGAAGTGTCAGGTTGGTGTTGTATGAAAGGAGAGAAGGTTAGCACTCCCCTTGACAAGGATGGAAGAGGCTCTCAGGCCGGACAACACGCATACGGTTAAGGCATTGCCACCTACTTCATGGCATCTAACCACGGTTTTTTTAATGAGATGGATAAAACTGGAGTCCATTATACAGAATGAAATAAGCCAGAAAGATAAACACTAATACAGTATACTAACGCATATATATGGAATTTAAAAAGATGGTAACGATAACCCTATATGCAAAACAGAAAAAAAGAAACAGATGTACAGAACAGACTTTTAGACTCTGTGGGAGAAGGCGAGGGTGGGATGTTCTGAGAGAACAGCACTGAAACAAGTATTATCAAGGGTGAAACAGACCACCAGCCCAGGTTGGATGCGTGAGACAAGTGCTCGGGCCTGGTGCACTGGGAAGACCCAGAAGGATCGGGTAGAGAGGGAGGTGGGAGGGGGATCAGGATGGGGAACACATGTAAATCCATGGCTGATTCATGTCAATGTATGGCAAAAACCACTACAATACTGTAAAGTAATTAGCCTCCAACTAATAAAAATAAATGGAAAAAAAAAAAAGAAGTGTCAGGTTGGAAAGGAGAGAGTATTGAGCTCTGGAGGTAGAGCTGTGGGGAAAGCAGGAGAGGGTCAAGTTGAGAGACTGATTACTATGAGGCTGGGAAATGTGGATTTCAGTGATCTGGGTGGCCTCTGGCCCTACTGTGTTTGGAAGGGAGCTTTTAAATCCTGCTGATCACCTGGGGTAAGTACATGGCATTATCACTGGCTAGGCCTCAAGAATGCTACTGAGAGGCTGATTATTTCTGCCTGTTGTTGAGCCACAGGAAGTAGATAAGCCAGTACTTGCTGGATCCAGAGATTCTCAGGAACAGAGGAGTAAGAACTGTTGAGAGAGGCACCTGGCCGAAAGGAATCCCAGAGCCCATCTGAGCACATAATGAACAGGACTTCCGAGCAGCAACGAAAAGCCACAGGGTGCTGAGAACGTGGGTGAGGCCTTGCCTCTAAGAAAGAGTCTTCTATGGGACATCTTGAAGCCCGGGCCTCACCACTGGGATGGCGGGAAGACTGCTGAGGAAGCTCCCTTGTGTCAGGGCTGGATTTCAGGCCCTGGACTAGCAAGAATATTGAGTGTGCCAGGAAGGTGGGCGGGAGCAACCTTTTACCTGGCACTGACGGGGGAAAATCCCTGTCACCACTCCCAGCCCCAAAGGAACTGGTAAGCCAAGGGTCACTTGAAGGACCAAGGAGAGAGGAGGCAGCCAGCCAGCTGGCACCGGGCTGGTTTAGCAGATTAGTATGTCAGGGTGGGGACAACTCACGGGGTAGGGATTTTAGTGTAGTCATTAGTGTCAATGAGGAAACCAGAAGGACTTGCCTCAAAGTAGTGGAAACGGCCCAAGTGAATACTATACTTACTCTCTAGATATCCTAGGGAAGAAGGTCATTGGGAGAGAGAATCATGGGAAACAGAGTTAAAATGGAAACATGAGTCTCTGTCTTGATCTGGAAAAAGTCACTTCTGGGCTCTTAGTGACTTGGCTCCAAACACACAGCTCTGCCTCCTGCTCTCCCTCCTCTCCTCCTCTCCCCCATGACGGCCTTCAGCAGGAAGGGGCCCCTCGGCCTCTGCTTCTGCCTAAGGCTTCACTCTGGCCTCCTGGACTCTGACCCTCGCCTTCTTAGGGTTTGAGGCCTGCCCGACTGGCTATATATAAACACTACGCTGTCTAGATGTAGGGCACTCTTCTAAGAAGCTAAGAGTTTTATCTAGTTTGATGCCAAGGAAAAACTTCCTTTTTACACAGGTCTTTGTCTCTGGTCTGCCAGCTGTCAACTAGGAGAGCTAAAGCCAGGGCCAGGCTACAACGCAGTGCAGATGCCAGCACCTGGGCGGCACATCGGTTAGGGAGATGTTCCGGAGCTGGCTAGCTCGATCTCAGCAGCAGCAACTCTGCTTCAGAGACGCAAGAGTCCTACGGCAACCACTTCTGCTGGCTAGTGACTACTGAAGGCAAGACTCAGACACTTCCAATGCAGCTTTCTTGGGCTACTCAGCATAAGAAAGCTCAATCTGACAGAGGCAAGGGTTGGTGGGGCAGCTGAAATAATTTCAGGAGCTTCTTTGCCAGGAACCAGAGAAGCCATCTGTTCTGTGCGGATGCTCTCCATCCATCATCACACCCCAGAATACTGGGGCTGGCTCACTGTTCACCAGGCTGATCTGAGCCCCAAGCTAAGGCATCTTCCTTTCTCCTCCTGTCATCTCTAGGTAAGCTCTGAGGTAATGTCACAGTTCCCCTGACCCACACTTTCCTTAGCTTGCTGGGGCTCAGGGATTAAGAGGCTCCAAAAGGAAGACTGAACTGCCAAATCCAGTGATGGAAACTGCTGACAGTACCTGTGGCGGCTTTAAGAGTGGGGCCTCTTTGCCATCTTTTCAAGGTAGTGGCAAAGAGAAAATTATCCTCTGTATCAATCTCCCCTCCCCAAGACCCCACCCCTCAAAACAGACCACCGGATGGGTACTCACTTCTCAAGCAGGGTCAGAGCTGTCACAGGGTTTACCCGGAGGTACTTGCAGGTGGGCTGACCGTAGTCCGCAAGGTAGGTTGACCAATCCCACTGGATGAAGAGATCCAAAAGCTGTAAAATATCCAAACCCCCACTCCAGTAATTAATCAGACAGATAAGACAAATCAAGATCTCAAAAACTCCTAGCACCCTTCACTAACCACTAGATTTGAAAAATAAAATTAAAATTGTAATATGAGAAAGAGTATGATTCTTCCCTGATAGCTCAGATGGTAAAGAAACCACCTGCAGTGCAGGAGACCCGGGTTTGATCCCTGGGTTGGGAAAAGCATCTGGTGAAGGGAATGGTTACCCACTCCAGTGTTCTTGCCTGGAGAACTCCATGGACAGAGGAGCCCGACGGGCTATAGTCCATGGGGTTGCAAAGAGTTGGACATGACTGAGCGACTAACACACACACAACAGAAAGAATGGCTATAGTAACAAAACTAAGAAAATAAACGGGTAATCACTGCAAGGTAGAGTCATCTCTGCCGGAAGCACTGCATTGCTGATGCTGGCTCTGAGAGCTCTCAGAGGCGGGCCTGGAAAGAAACTGGCCCTGGGCTGAATCACAACACCAGGCTATCATAATAATCGCTCATTCACTTAATAAATACTTACAACATGTCTTCCATGTGCCAAGCACCATTCTAGGAGCTCAGAATTCAGCCATGAACAAATAAAGGTGGGTGTGTCCAGTGACCCATATGCAACTATATGAGCTTTCAGGTTGAAAGCTCTGGGTTCAAGTATGAATTTCATGACTTGCTGTGTTGACTTTGCTAAGTTACTCAGTTGATACAGACACATGCCAAAAACGAACAGGATATGCAGACAGCACAGAAACACACTGAACCAAGACATAAATGGACCATATAATATTTACATGAAGGCAATATACAACACCTGTGAGGACATTGGTTGAACAGATAGAAATCTGCTAACTAAATACATTTTGTCAAAGGCTTTCCTTATCAGCCAGCTTTAGCCTCAGGTATCAGTCTAACAAATATTTAAAACTCATAACTAAATAAAGCTAAAAAAGAAAAAAATCAGTGTCTTTCAAAGGTGGGGTAGGGGTGATGAAAGGGAAGCTGTTTGCTCCCCTGTATAAACTTCTAGGGGGGTTACTGCCCCAGACTCACATCATTACATAGAAGAAGGGCCTCAAGCAGCCTTTCTAGCAATGAGATACATATAAGTACTTCTGGACTCAGGGCATTTCCCTACTTCTCCTTTTCCAAGAGATAACAGTTGATGAAGATAAGTAGATGATAATCTCTCTGTGCAGAACTAATGCAGAGAAGCCAAGAGTCAAATTCAACGCCAGAGTCTGGGCTCTTAGGCGTACCTTCCTCCTCTGTCTTCCTCACTGGGGAGCTGGGCAAACAGGCAGTGTGGGCCTTGCTCTGTTGGCCGTCTCCTCTGCTATCCATTCTCTTAGAATAGATGTTAAGAACTTCCTCAGGATGGAAATTGGCTGAAGTCCCAAAACTAAAACAGAGAAAAGCCCCTACACCCTCAGCCAACAAAGGGATACTAAATATGAGAGGAGACGGGGAGAGAGACAGACATGTTGGTTGGCCTGGGTCAGCAAGGCCCCAACGGCCCTCTCAGGCCTCTTTTAGGTCATGCTTATTTTAGTTGGCAAGTAAAAGGGCTTCTACCACTTCCTTTCACTGCCCCAAGGCCTTACAGAGCTCTCTTTTAGAAGAAAAATTTCCCTGACTTCCTATCCTAATCTTGGTATTTCCAGCCTAAAGACCCCTCGAGACAGTTCCTCCTAGGGAATGTGATAGGCACTTGGAGTGTCCCTTGTTTTAAAGGTCTTCTACAAGTAAAATTGTGCTTTTCCCTCAAACCCCAAGGAAAGAAACTATGGAAAAAGATAGCATTTTCTTAATTAGTTTTTTTTCTCTTAGAAAGTTAAACAAAAAATGTTGGGAGCTTTTTGCTGTTTGCATGCTAGGGACCTAGCAAAAGAAACATGAAAGAATAACAAATAAGTTTAATTGGAAAAATTTGAAAACCTGATTTCTTAAAGCTATTTTAGGTATTATTTCTCAGATGTGGACACATATATATATATATATATATATATTTAGTAAAACTAATTTCATTTTGTTCTCTATTAACAGAATCCTAATTTCAGTGATGATTCCTTGATGGTATCAGCATTTTCTGATTTACTGCAAAGAACACCATGTCTTTCTGGATGATAAAACCTGGGTAAATCACCAATAGGGTGTAGAGGGCAGTTCATAACTTAGTTTCAAGGTTTCCTATTTTTAAATTCTTGCCAAAGTCTCTCAATGCCAGTACTGAGCCTACAACCTCTGGGATGACAAGCTAGCTAGTTTATCCCTTGCTTGGCCTGGAAGCCAAACAACTCTACTAAGCTCAACCAGCATAAGCCTACAGCTCACACTCTGGGTCTATGCTGCTTTCCAGTCCTTTTCAGTGGCCTGTACCTAGATCTGGTGGTCTCCTCTGAGACAGATGGACATAAACTAGAGTCTGGGTAAGACTTAGCTAAGTCAACCTGCTCTGGGGTGCAGCTCTACTGGATTCCTTAGATCAGAGTTAGAATGAGAGAGCAAGAAAACCAGTAGGCCTCTTTATCATGGCACTTTGATCTCCAGACTATGATATTCCGAGGTGAATTAGGCCTCTCAGCCTAGTTCGCTGCATGCAATTGCCTTGTAAGATCTCAATAAAGTCTCTCCCGAGGATGAACATTCTGTCATCAGTGAACGTGTGTCATCATGATCACATTTTAATTTTTTATTTCTAAAAGTTTTCATTTTGGAAATAATTTCAATTTATCAGAAAGTTCTAAGAATGGGCATAGTATAAGGAGCACTATATACCCTCCTCCCAGATCCACGCATCATCAATATTTTACCCATCATGCTCCATCATTTGTGTTCTTTCTTTTTTTGCACGTATATAGTATTTCTTCTTGGAGTCTCTTGAGAGTAATTACACATATCATGGCCCTTTATCCCCAAATATGTCAACATTCCTAAGAATTAGGGCTATTCTCAAACATAATCACAGTATGGCTTTTAACTTTAATAAAATTAATTTTGATACAGTTCATACTTTAATTTTATAAATTGACCCAATAATGTCCTGTATAGCTTCTTTGTTTGTTCAGGATCAGGTATTACATTTAGCTAGCTATTGAGTCTCCTTTAATCTGGACTATTTCCACAGCCTTTCTTACATGACATTGACATTTTTGAATAATATCAACTCTTCAAAAGTTCCCTGCCTCCTTTTTCATCCTAAGTTTTGACTTTCCTAGTGCTTTCTCATCATAAGATATAAGATACGCCTATCTGGCCAGAATCCTACATGTGATGCTGTGTCCCCCTCAGGGCATCACATCTGGATGTGCACAACGTTCACACGTCTCTCAACGGTGACATTAATTTTGTTCACCCAGTCAAGATAAGCTGTTGTCTGATTTCTCCACTGTCCAGATATTATTTTTTCTTTTGTAACTAGGAAGCAATTTAGGAGGTCATGTGAACATACTGTTCCTGATTAAAATTTTCTATTAGATTTAGCATCTGTTGAAGATGCTTCTCCAATTTAGTCTTCACTATGATGGTTTCAAACTGATTCCATCCTTCCCTCCAAGTTTATCAGCTGTCACTCAGCATTTGACCATAAGCAAGTGCTCACTTCTGCTCCACTATTAATTCATCTATTTTATTACTGGTATGGATTCATGGGTTTCCACTGTTTAATAGTTTATATTCATTACTATACCTAATTACTTTGGTGCTCAAGTTGTCCCAGATTTAGCAGTGGGAGATCCTTCAAGCTAGAGCCTGTGCCCTTGTGGCACGTCCCCATGATTTTTTTCAGGACTTCCTTACTTTCTGGCATATTAAGGTGGTGCAGGTTCATCTTGTATCTACCATGCTCAGTTCTGAAATCAGCCCTGGTTTCTTTTAGTGGGAATGTTATTAGAGATCAAGATTTGGGTGCTAAGTGAGCTCATTGCTACTACGGGACAATCTATGGGGTATTAAGCCCTCTCAGGAGACACAGCTAGGAAATATATACATATAAATATATCCACAGATACACATACATATGTGTGTACATATGTACACATATTTTAGATATCATGAGTTTACACCAATACCTCCAATTCTAATCATTCTCAGAGAGTTCTTTCTTGCCTTCCTCTACGTCACATGTCCACAGTTAGAATTATCAACATCATCTCATCTACTAATTTGCTCAATAATATATCTAAAATTGGTTCAGAATTGTTTGTATAAGCCACTGCAAAATAAACCTACTAAAAAATAAGGTCAAGATTTGTTTGAAGTTCTCCCTACAACCTAACACTGAGTGGGTACAATCAAAACCTATGTTCATAAGCCACTTGGGTTAGTCTTTTTTAAAATTCTCCCTTCAGTTTGGTTATGGTATTCATCTAAATAAAACCGGGTTCATTTGTTTCCATTTAGGCTCCTCCCTCCCATCCTTTGTAATTTATTTTTTTACACATGTAGGACACTAATATGCTTCCAAAAGTCAAACTATACAAAAACGTTAACTCAGAAGAAGTGTCAGTCTTTCCTTCTTGTATCCCTTTTACCCCAATATCTACCATGCCTTATAGGTGCCCAACTCCATTGTTTGTGAATTTGCCCTTACTATATTTCTATTTGTAAAGATAAACAGATACACATTTTATTCCTTATTTCCTCTTCTTTCTTTCACAGAAAGTAGAATACTATATATGCACTTTAAGATAATTTATTTCTTCACATTTACAAGCAGGAAGGGGATGGAGAAGAAGAAAAATGAGAAGTGTCAAAAGCAGGAGACTGAACTACTCTTCAAACTTTACTGAGTATCAATTTGTAATTTTTACCATATTCTCATGCTACAAGTGTAATTATTAATTTAACATTTTTGCATTGATTCACATTTTGGTATTAAAAAATTTAAAAGAACACTTTACACCACTATCATAAATGGGAAGCCATTCTAACTTGTCATAAATAGAAGATAACTCAAACATCAGTGCAACAATGAGA